AGTTGTTACGACAATGCTAAGCATGCTTCTGACAGGGGGAAGTGGTATTGGGGGATTAAGACAGGTAAACTCCTTTGAGATTTTATTGTGTTTTGATACAAATTGGTAATGTGCTTTAAATCTGATTTGACAGGAGCCTCAGCTGACTGCTTGTGAACCATTTGATGTCTATGCAAAGCCTTTCACTCTCTAGTGAAGACAACTCACTCTTATGTATAGCGAGTGTGATGTGAATCTGTCCATTTAAACTCTTGTTTTCTTTTTCGTTCAAAAGAATAAAAAAAAAAGACTTTGATTCGTTCCATCTATTCTCTAGTTTTTACAAGCAACAAGCCAATTGTTTGGCTTTGAGAATCAACGCTTAAACGCAATGGCTGAATAGACAAAAGGAAGACAAAAGAATGCCCAGAAAGCTGTTGAAAAGGTACATACAAATCATGTGTGCATTGCTGCAAGAAAGAGCACTTCCGCTGTAGCAGCCTTTCCTCTGTTTGATGCCACGGCCGTTATCTTCCAGGACAAAGGTGGAGTTAGTCCCACCATCGCTAAAGAGAAGGCACCAAAAGAAGGTACCTTTATGCAACCTAGCCATTCCAACTCCAACCTCGGTATGCGACCTGTTTCTGAGCACCAGCAACGCTTTGCTATCTCTAAAGAGAATGTCGGAGAAAGCGACTTCTGGCTTTGCATACTTCGAGCTGCAGCCAAGGATATGGCCTGTTATGGTACCAAAAGTGGGGAGTTCTACACCACAGTTGGGGGCAAAAACCTGAGTGAAGTCGTCTTCAGGGGGTTCACAGCTCACAGTGTTGTTGTTGACATTGCAATTCCCCTCGCAGAGCTCAGCATACTGGAGGGCCATGCAGCCAAGACCAGGACTCTCACTTAGTTTGCTGAGTTTCCGAGCTGTTCTGTTATTGTTCAAGATGCTCACTATTTCAGTAGCTTGGTTCCCTGCAACCATTATAATAACTAACAAACACTTTAGTCCGCCTTAAGAGCCGTGTGTTCTTTTAAGGGTTTAAGGTATGAATCAACGTAGCAATCTAGCAAATCTGGTTCTCAATAAAGCAAGATCAAAGGGAATGGGCTGTTTATATGCATCCTGGCCAAATGCTGAACGAAAAATCCAAAGCCTAATTCGCATATATGTTATGAGGAGAGAGTAAAGTGAAGATTACCCTTGAATTTGCAGTTAGCTTTCATTGAGAGTGAGAGCAAGAGTAAAATCGACTTCAAAAAGGTAAATTCGTTCTTCATTTCCGGGAATTCCCTGTGTAAGTGCTGAAGCTGGCGACGGATTTCCGGGAAAAGAGAAAGAAGCCGGAAAAGAAAAAACAAAGTTGACAAAAAAATAGATAAGCTTGATGGAGATGGAGATGGAGGTCAAATGTTAC